TTAAAGGCAGATGGAAACATCATTTGCGGCACACATGTAGAATAGGGCACCAGAATTGCTTAATTTATGTCAACTATCGTTGTAAGCTAGAAGTCCCAATGGTAGCGATTGAGGAGTCGTAGTAGGAGGTAGGTCAATATTTCGACAAAGAGCTACCTCATTGGACAAATTTCGGACGTTCAGACACATGGGTTTACGTATTGGCAACGTCAAGTCAGCAAAATCACTTAAACGGCGTCACGTTTTTGGAAACTGAGTTAGGCCTCTTGACTTCAAAGATGTCACTGGCAAAAATAGGAGACTCATCCCTTACTATGCTACAGAAGGTTGTGGTGGAGTAGAGTAGTGAGGAGGTGACGGTGCAAGTGGCCTAGAGGATGGTAAGCATGTCTTAATGCCGCGTTGCCACGGCAGCAATTTAAAGTATGACTCGTCGCCTATACGCATTCTCACGAACGGTGACTACTTAAGGTGAAGAGGGTAATACGAAGGTCGCTGTAAGTCGAATTCATGAATTTCAGTGTCCTTCGAACGCAGAAGTTGAAATTGGAGTTTGGAATTTCTATCAGTGAGTTGACTTTACCTGATTTTGGTGCATTTGGACACCTAGGTCATCAAGTCAGCTGCGTTGGTGAACATTACACTTATCTTTGTCGACCACCCTTGTAATGCTGTGGTGGAATTTATGCGGTAGCTGAACAAACACAGGTTTACATCATCTACAGTCTAATTGTGGATGGCCCAATCCACTGATGAGTCCAGCTAGACGGAAGTTTTGAAATAACCGGGCAGAAGGACAATGGGGAGAAGTGCAAAATGACTTTGGATTAGACATGACGGTGGTTTGTGATAAAGAAGGGATCTACGGAAGCATCACGCTGAAGTTGGTTTAGGGACTGAATATTTACCAAATTGACATGTCGACTTAGTCGCTTGTAAAGTGTCAAGTCCGTGGCCAAGTGAGCCTGTGGTAAATTTTTTGAAATGCGGTGGCAAAAGACATCTTACATTACCACATTTTCATTCTCATCAATAGCAGGAAAATGCAGATCCTAACCAAGAGCTGATGAAGGTGCTGAATACACTGAAATACAAATGCGAGCAATTGGAGGCGTCGATGAGAGAGACAAGAAGCGTTCAGGAGAATCTGGACAAACTGCGGAAGAACCCGCTTCTCGCGCCGACTGGTTACTTATTGAAAGTTGATGAATCGATCGATGAATTGTGCACCAAACTTCAACGCAGTCGACTTTTACTATCACAGAGCATGGAAAAAGCCAAAGGCTTGGAAGAAAAGCTGAAGCAGTGGCGAGAAACTGCCCAGAGCATCAAAATAGTGGGAACCTCACCCAAACTAGACATGGTTTGTAAATGCTTTTATTGGTTCCATTTCCTATCTACTTTGCATCTTCTTCTTGACCCACTGGTCTAGCACATGGTGCATTTTAACAAATGTTTTACTTTGAGATGCCTTAGCAACGAAATTAGAGACTAAATTTCGTGCTGACCCAACTGCGTTCTGCCTTAGGAGCATCACAGTAGTCATCAATCAGACAATTTGTCTAGTGAATACATCAAGGTGCATCGACTAGATCATTGTTGCCGTCACTGTTGCCACGTGATGAGTTCCTGTTAAAGGTGTTCTTTCACACCGAAAACGAGGAGACCCAGCCACAGTTTTTTCTGATTTGGTGTGCAGTCAACCACAGGAACACGGTGAAATAGTTTGTGTAGAGTATCTGGGCAGGTAGACCGTCGCAAAGCAAGGTCTTTATATGAAAACAACCTGTGTGAAGACAAATAATTGCACAGCCCTGGCTGAAATGGCAACTTACGGTGCTAGATAAAACGAGACATGCGAAACCCGTTGGGTGTGGACTTGAGTTTGATTTATCGAATACAGAAATCGGTTTCCAGAAGTGCAGTGGAGTTCAAAGACGTCTTCATTTGATTTTCCTCCTAGAGCTACTCCCTTGTATTGGCAAAAAAATCAATCTGAAAGTGGCGCTTCTTAAGTGAAATCATTTAAACTACAGCATCTTTCTTATTTAAATGGTGCATTGAAGCCCTACCTTCCATCCAGTGGTGAATACTTAATTGTTAAAGTAGGCCTGTTTTTTCAAGGTCAGATGAATTTTTTAGGACTAAAGTGGGAAATAAGAACGAATGGATGCATTGCCGGTTTTGATAAATTTAAGTGACATGTGCTTTCCTAGCGTTGATTAACGTCGTCACTAGTATGCCAGAAAGTGACACCTCTAAGTAGAGCGATTTATAGTTTTCGGATGCGAAATATAAATGAGGGTAGCATCTTGTATGCCAACAAAACTGTTATGTTTTGCCCGTACACGGAACTGCCCACTCAGGTAACCGGCACCCCAAACCCCCCCCTCCCCAGTACATGACAAAGCCAGGACCTGGTGCAGGGAACTTTTTTGGCTAAGCCAATGGACAAGTAACATGTCAGAATGTGACCGTGAATGACCTTGACTTGGTTGATCAAGGCGGATTAACACGGATTGCCGCGGTTGACGGACCCACTCGAGTGTCGCAGTTCGGGGAGTTGTGCAAACAAGGCCGAACCCCGCATTCTTGATGAATCTTTTTGGAGAATGTTGGTGTCCCCAGCAGAAACCCCTGCTGTGAATTTTGTAAGACGGCCAATGGTTGCATGGGATTTCGGGGAGTGTGTTAAGCGAGAGAACAATGTCGGGTTTTGTTTTAATTAATCACATTCTGTGTTTGGTCTGTATTTCAGAAGAGTGGCGCCCAGTTGGCTGAATTGACTTCGGAACTGGCACGACTGCGGTCGGCATTCGAGCTCCTGAAGGCGGGTAGGCCCCCTGACACGCCCAAACTCAACCCAGAGGAAATGATTCCAGACCTAATGTCCGTAAGTCACGGGGTGGGGAAGCACAAGATAGCTAGAGGCACGAGCAAACTGTTTGTATTGGGGCTGTTGCAAAAGCAGTGGTGGTCGCTTACACCAGTGTTATTTAAGGCTAAGAAAGTAATGCCTATGATTCTTCACTTCTGCTGAGACTGATGTAAATTACTTACTGTGACTTCCGAAACGACTACAGGAGAAAATATTCCATAGATGCTACACATAACACCTAAGACAAAAACAGACATTAGTCTCGCATTAACCCGATGTTTAAAGGCATTCTTACTAAACTCATTGTCCAGCTGAAGCTCATGAATTTAAATGGTGCATAATTTACCAAAAATTCATTATGCGTTTAAATGTTTGGGTGGATTCGCGGTAATTCAAGACGCCATAGTGTTTATTGCCGGGGGCCTCGTACTTCATTAAGGTTTGTTTGAGCAGAGGCAGATGAAAAGCGCATTCAATGTTACTTTTAGATTCAAACGTTCCTGAAGCAGAATCCGGCCATCGAAACAGTGAATAGGTAATTTTTCGGGTTCCATGTCCTGCTGTGAATTCGCTCGAATATGTAAAGCTCTCCTTACAAGGTGTGATTCAGTTAATAAAACCCAAACCCAACCGAAGCCGTTCAAAGCCCAGTGTATCAGCTTTAATCAACCGAAAGTCGGTATTTATACATTAGCCACAAAATCTACCTATGGTGCTCATTTGTTGGTTAGAAAATTGCTACAGATGTGGCTCAATTTGACCGACATTCTGGCCGGTCTGTGGACAGAGTCATCGTTAGAAGGATACATTCAAGATCGTCCGCAGGAGCTCTAATCAAGCATGGGTGAACATGAACTCAACCGATTGTGCAGAATTCACACCATGTATCGACAATCGTTCCGAGGTTTAGTGTCAAGTGTTCCTATCTAAAATGGCGCATTATCCAGCTAAACGAACAGCTCTTATCGTCACGATAAATAGGTGCGCCTCCACCAACTTCGATCTTTTCATTCTTCAACAGAAATCAGACGCGATTAGTTTTTTGCCTCCGATCAGAAACTTCAAAAAATGAGTTTCTAGGTAGAATAAAAAAGGCCTTTCTGGTGTTGCGCATGTAATTAGAATCAGTAAAGCGGGGTTTTGTAGGCCAATCACAGTTGCTTTTGCAGAGTCTTAACGTGAAAGCTCGTCTTGTGATAAGAACTTCATTCGTCAAACTCATTTCGAACAATAGTGTCGTAAAATGGAGCGCCTAATTCCCTAGAAATTGGCAATGAGGCACGTTGAAGCCATGACAAAACCCTTCTTTGATGGGAGTCGGCAAAAGAGTAACACAAAGGTATAGCAAACACGGCATAAAAATCACGGTCTCCTATCTTTTTTAAGAAGGCGATGTCGGCTTGCTGTCAGTAAGCGGAAGCAGCTGTTTTAAGCTTACAAAGTTTAAAACTAGAAAGTAAGATTAGATACAACTGTAATGCTTAAAATACACATTTCTTCTGACATATTGGTGTAATAAAAGGTAATAGATAGGTAGATAAAACAGAGATAATTCCACATTCATGGCTAGTCGTCAGCCCTATTTTCTCGACAGTTTCTTATTCTGCGCATATTCTCTTATTCGGATATAAAATAATAGAGTAAATGGCATTGCCTCTCTTATTTGTCGATGGTTTTCATGAGACAGTGTAAGTGATCACCGATTCAACCGTTTAAGAAGTGATATTAGAAAGGTTACGAACTTAGAACAGCAAACTACGAAGCTGTTTGAATAAATCTCCTTGAAGACCGTCAAGTCATCGTTGAAAGTGTGGCTGAGGGAAATAATTGCTTGCCCAACCACCTAGCAAGTAGCTGCCTAGTTCTGTGATATAATTCAGGGCTCATGGTTCATTAAGTCTAAGTGTTTTCCTTAACATTGGGTGGACGACTGCCAGCTGACTGATCTTTCGACAACATTTCTTCATCCAGTTAGGTGCTGACAAAGGTACAATGCTCTTTAGGAGTGTTATTTTTCACTTTCCATGTGTTAAGGAACTGCTCCTTATGCAACTTTATTAATAAATCTATTTTTGAGAATCTAAAATGATCAAGTTTTAAGCTGGCTACTTTAGAAAAAGGGATATTGCCTAATAGTTTTAATGCGTACCATGAATCAAAACTCAGGCAGAAATAAGGGAGGTTTATAGTTAGCCAAGAAAATGATGTAGAAGGTTGTATTAAAAGTAGCTGAAATGAATTTTAATGATCAAGGGCTTAAGAACATTTCAGGAAGTCCTAATCTCTCTGAATTATGTCAAATCCATCCTTATAAAATTATTGAAAACGAGGCGTGCTAAACAGTTCTTTTGGAATTCACACACAGAAGACAAATTAATGTCCACAAAAAGTAAGAAGAACACCTGATATCTTTGAAAGTGGGTGAGGGTCAGGCAAGGTAAGCAGACCATTCAAATTCTAGAGGGAGTTAATTCTAACCAAAACTGTATAAGATAAAATAAAAAGTTTGAGCCCTTATGCTAAAGAATTGGAATATTCCTGATTTATACACCCCGGCAATGGTGCATTTATTCGATAAATACGTTATCTGAAATAAATTTAAAAAAACTAAGTTACTATACTGCTGTAGACAGACAAGCCTAAAAGTCGACTTGGTTAAACAAATAGCTCGCAATAGCTTATGAGAGACTTTGGTTACAAGCAGTACTCAATTTGAATTTTGATAAAGACTTCTTTTGAGCCAAAAGCAGGCCATCAATAAATTTAAAGTACAGTCAAACAAAAGGCAGAAAGATATATGTCTCTATGTTCATGCTTCATTTTCGGCATCAAAAAGCTGGCCTGTTGCAGCCAGCAACAACGGTAGTAAAGACCGAGTTGAATGAGTTAGAATGAGACCGATCGTAACATTATTGCTAGATAAAGCCGCACATTTGTCTAACCAGTGCTTTAACTTGTCAGCACCTTCGAAGAAATCTGCTTTTTTCAAAATTCTGAGGTTAAGTCCGCTGGATAAACGGCTAAGACCATTTAGTCGGTTTCAAGACAGCAGGTTTTCCAATGAGACTTACTGATATGGTTAAACTCATTGCCTTAGTGCAAACCTATGTATCTGTCGTGCGAGCTGTACACCAAATACATTTATTTGGTCCTTAAAATTGTTTTAATACAGGATTTCAACTAATACTTTGCATGTATTTATTAAGTAGTTATAATAAGGTGATTTCTGACGCGGTGAAACTTTCTTCGCTGGCAAAAGTTGTCTGTAACTGTCTTCTGTCCGTAATGGAGGGCGGCGATTCTGGGAATTTCAATACAAAACAACGTAAAAAGAAGTCAAAAAAATCTAAGCAAATTGTTCCACAAAAGTCACCTGTTAACGTCTTTGGTGCTTCGAATGCTGCGGATTTAGTAACATGTACTTATTTTGCTGCGTAGTTTTGGCAGTGTCAATAGTTTTAAGCCCATTGTCTGACCAACTGTTTTTGTTGCAGCCGCGGCAGGTGTGTGGGCTCGTAACAATGAAAAGGTTGAGGTGAAAAAGTCTCCTCGTGTTAGTGAAGTATCCTCTGATGACGTCGATTTTGCTCTCTTTGAATGTATTACTGACATGCGAAACAGACAGCTCAATCACCGATCCTCCAGTTCTCTAACGTGTTCACCCTACCGCCAACAACCCAGAGGGTTTATTAACACACAGAATACTTGTTACTTCATCGCATGCCTCCAGTCTCTCTTCAGCATTCCTGCGTTTGTCGCCATTCTCGACCGTCTCTCTGCGACCGTGCATAGTGTATTTGCGGAAGTTGGCTGTTTGCGTAATCTCTGGACTGAAGACCTTGCTGTCACGACACCCATACTTCGTTTGTTGTGAGCTGTCTAAAATAAAATTTAGTAATATCGCAATTTTTTACTCATTTTGTTCCCCTTTTGAAGCGTGCTTTTGTTGGACGACATTTCTCCCTACAAACCCAATCAACCGAATGGAGGGCAGCTGGCATTGCCAAATGATTTCGGATATATTCCCACGGGCAAGCCTCTCAAAGTGGACCCCAAGTTCTTTAGTTTGTTGACCTTGGAAGTTGGGCATGAGCAAGATGCTGCCGTAAGAATCGTTTTCATTCTCCTAAGAAAGTTAAATGTTGCCTCACAAGCTGACATGTATATTTACTTAGGACTGTATGTCGCGCCTCATTACTCAACTCCACGAAGAAATGGCGTGCTTGCTGCGCAGATTCAAGCCTTCGGAAACGCCGAAGAATGCATTGGAAGAAGATGACGACGGCGAAGAATGGACAACGGTCGGATGTCAGGGGAAAAAATTTACAGAAGCCCGTCAGGTAAGTGAATAGAGTTTGCTGCTCTGCAACATAGCCTCGCTTCAGTCATTGGCAAACCATTTAAACCCCTTGATTTTCTTACGAAACCGGTCTATTTGTTTTGGTATTGTAACTGATGTCTTCACTAGTGAGCCTGACAGTGTGTAAATGGTAATAACGTGCAAAGGCTGACCACCTCGATTGAGGCAACATGAATGCGAATAAAATTAAACGAAACACACTGACTGCTACGTTATTCGTTCGATATCTTTACAATGTTATGTTCATGTTTTGCGTGTTTCCTTAGGGCAACCTTTTCTCTTTGTTTACCCTCGTAATAGCTTCAGGGTCAGGGAATTTTCGTAACATGCTTTAAGCTCATAACATGCTAATTCCCCAATGGGAACTGTGACAATTAATTTTACACAGTTTCTATCCATGCTATTAAGTATTTTTTGGTCCCAAAGATATTCTTCTATGTTATTATAGACTCAGGTAGACAATGGCGAGATGACACCAATTTCGTTCCTTTTTGGCGGAAACCTCATCTCCCGCTCCTCGTACAAGAAGGCCTCCCGGACAGCAAACAAGTCGGATATTAGTGTGAAGGAGCGATTTTTTGTTCTTCCACTGGAACTAAATGATCCCCAAGTACGTGGTTCTCTTCACGTCCATTTTCTCGAACATCTGCGTGTCGTGTGTTTTTTGGCCGTGTTGGTTCGTGTTGATAGACGAAAGAGACGGTTGGGTTTCTTGTGGTTGATTTCGTGTGCTAAGTGGGTATTTTCTGGCTGATTGTAGCTTTTTTGAGATTTCCATGTTATTGATGTCGGGCGTACTCAGGGCTTTCCATTATGTTAGCGCTCATTACTGTTTTTTCTTGATATCAAACCAAAATTGATTTTGTTTCCCCTGGATTCAAAATGTTTGCTTCCTAAAGTGTTAATGTCTACTCTGGCGCAATCATTCCGCCGAAATGGTCTCCGAAACGTGTTTTACGTGCCCCCTCTAAATCTCCAGTTTGCTCGCTCACTTTGAACACACATATGAACCCGTGTGCGTGCAGCAAGCAGCGAAATGTGTAAAATCTGCCGGAATTATATGTCAAGTCTGCTTTTCGGCATGTTTGTGGACGACCTAAACATGAAGCCTATTGCACTGGGGCATTTTTGAGACACGCTTTCAAATGTTGTTGTATTCCCTCGGCACACATAGGTTTGTGCTTCTTAGCAGGCACAAAAGAAATGCAGATCTCTTCGCCTGACTGACCTTTCCTCTCTGTTAAAGGTAACATCCTTAGAAGACGGTTTCCGCCTTCTGGCGAAACGCGACATCCTCTCCGACTTTCGCGACCCAGAAACGGGGGCCTGTGTTGTCATGAATCGACGCGTTTTCATCGATCACCTTCCACCGGTAATCCTTGTACAACTCAATCGATTCTTCTACTCCGTTTCCAAAAATGGCATACAGAAGGTGCTCAAGCAAATACCGGTTTACAAACAGCTGCAAATACCTGATTGTAGGTTACTCCCCTCTTCAGTATCTGTTGGTGTTAAAAAAATTGCATCAGCTGACGCTTCTCCTTCTCCCGTTGCCTGTTTACTCATAGACACATCTTACTTCGTCGATGTCGAAAAACCCACAAAATTGCACATGTGCGATATGTCAGTCTCCTTGACTTAGTCGCCGTTGGTAGTGTGAATTGGTTTTGGCAATGCGTTTGGGGAATTCGGCACTGGGCCGTAGCGTCTGACCAGAAATTGGTGTTTGTGTGCTTGCGCGTATGTGTTTTACTGAATTGGGGTGAAGATATCTTATTAGACGTGTGAAACTGTTTCAACGGTCCGCGAAGTATGCTCTAGTTAGGATCGGAAGTCAACGATCAACGTTGGGACTGAAGATCGGCATGCCAAACAAGCGTTTGTCCTGGGCGTTTGTATTGAATAGCTAATGTGGACAGTGGCAAGTGGATGAACGGCCGACTAAACCATCGTTTATGCAAGTGTGCGTAAGAAAATTTTCAGAATTATCGTTTTTGGTTCCATTCACAACCGCTGGTACCGAAAACCACAGCTGAATCTGATTGTGGAGGGGTGGTCAAGATTTATACCCTCCGTCTAAATGTCACTGCCATCTGCGCCACGACAGCTGTGTTCCTCGTAGTCGTATCCGCAAATTTCGCGGGCTGTCCAGTCTAGACACCGAATTGACTTGGCGAACGCGCAAACGTTTCATAATTCCTCGTGACAAACTTGTTCAAACCGCAACCACTTCTGATTCCGAGTTAACCGTGCCCATTTCGCATAACGTCATCTACCTGGTAAGCTTTTCAAGGAAACGAGCCAACTTCAGGGGTATAGGGCTTATGCGTTACTGTGTGCGGCCTATTACATCAACTATCGCTGTTTACTCATTCCTGAAACCTTGTCCTAGACCGTACCTGCCTATTGGTAAACCGCTTTTTTGAGGAATTTGAAATAGATTCAGTAGTGTTAATTTTCTAACCTATTTTGCAGCCATTGTCTCGAAGGAACGTGCCTTTTCAAAGGCTCAGGGAACTTACGAGCTGACTTCGGTGGTTTTCCACATTGGTTACAACGCAACTCGTGGTCACTATACCACTGTGACCTTGCCGACTCAAGACGACCTGCTGTACTTTGACGACGAGCGGGTGTTTCGTTTGCACCAGCAGCGAGACGAGGAGAGCATGCTCAGGACGCATCGACCCTTCGACGGACGAAACTGTCGATTCACGGAGTGCAGACACCCCGCGGGTTCGGACGGTCCCCGACCCAGTATAGCAGAACAACCGAGGACGCCTTACCTACTCGTGTACACATCACGCTTCCAGTCCTAGTAATAAACGCGTCTCTTGTAAAACGGTGTATTTGCAGCATCAGACGCGCAGGAAATTGCCTTATTTTATCAAAAATTGAAATTTGGGGTTGATATGGGAATTGTACTTCCAGGGACCACGACGGCAACCTGTCACAGCGCCATCTGGGTTGGATTAGACAAACATTTGACGCTTCTTAGTCGTCCGTCCGCGACACTTATCACAACGCAAGGGAGTGCACAATGTTTGAAAGCCAGAACGACAAGGACGCTACCGCAAAATAGGACGCTGTTGCGAGCACAACTCACATTGATTTCTTTAACAGTACTTTAGGACAGGTTGTTTAGTGTAATTAGATAATATGCCCCATGATGGCTCGAGTCGACCAATCACAGCAACCGCAAATTAGCCAATAAATGCGCCAGTGGAGATGACTACCTCGAGTTGACGTTGCTTGAGATCGAACGCTTTGTTGTTACTGTTGCGAGTTTGTTCTTCACATGGTAAGTGGCAAACACACTGATAGACTACTCTCACCCTCATGAAAATGTACTCCTTCAGCAGAAGGAATAGCCTGTATGAGGCTGCGACATTCAGGCCTACCCCTAAATCCAACGCACCAACGCAAACTTGGCCTACTAGTCATGCGAGTTGGCAACAATGCTGTCGCCTACTTGAGGCAACCGGGTTGTT